CCCAGCCTCGGGTTCCAAACGTCCTTCCCTTTTGTGGGCTGGCTTCGAGGAGCTGCCTGGCAGGTGTCCTCTGTTGGATTTCTGAGCAGTGACCGTTCGATATCCTACAAAAACCCACTCACTGGATGAACCAAGCACCAGGCTTGTGTTCCACTAGTGCCAGCCGTATCCTTTGAAGTCACCCACTCGTGGTTTTAACGAGCATAGGTTGCTCCCAGTCCTCTTTCATTCTTAGTATTAGGAACTTTGGCTTTCTTGGGGTGGCAGTTTAGGTGCTTAGTTTCTCCTGAGTGACAGGACGAGGGGAAATGGATTTAAATTGTGCCGGGCAGGTTCAGGTTGGATCTGAGGAAGAATTGGAGGTGGTTGTCAGCCGTTGGCACAGGCTGCCCAGGGAGGGGATTGAGGCACATCCCTGGAGGGGTTTGAGAGACGGGGGATGTTGCGTTGGGGGGAATCGTTTAGTGGGTTGATGGGGCTGGGACAAAGGCTGGACTCGATGATCCTCAAGGTCTCTTCCAGCTGAAATCGTTCTATGGGTCTGTGATTCTATCTCATGTCTTAAGGAGCCCTGTCTGTTCAAAATAAATCCTCTCTTCATGTAGAAGTAAAGACTCCTATTTCTACAACATGAGATTCTTAGAATAAGTCAGGGAGGAGTTTTTACCCAGCTATAGTCGTGGTTTGTGGCCAAACCCTTTCCAGCCACCCGGTGCTGTTTCGGAGTCGTGGGGGACAGAGCAGAGGCTGAACCGTGGCTGGGGAAGAAGACAACGTTGTCTCCCCGACCTGAATCCAGGCACCTCTTCCATGGATTTGGTTGGGCTCCCAGTTTTCTGTAAGGACTTATCTTTCAGAACACCTTGTCTTTTATGATCGGAAATCCTTTTTGGAAGTCTATGACCTTACTTTATTTTGCATTAAAATTACAGCTGCCCAGAGAAAACCTGCTTTACTGGCTGAGGAAATGCAGCTGCTTGAGCTACCTGCATTAGTTATTAGTCACTGTTTCTGGGAGCTTTCTCATCCTTGGTTGCTTTATATTCTTTTAGGTCACTGACAGAAGTAGGGAAACAGGGTAAAATACATTCCTGTTCAACCTGTGTGGGTTCGCAGAGCTGCTTCAGCCCTTCCTCCTTCCCGTGCCAAAAACACATTTCTGTGCCGACTCCAAAAGAAGGAAGCAATTTGCATTTAATCAGATTTTTTTGTGTATCTCTCTTCTTGCATG